GGGGGGGCATTTTGCTGTTGATAAAACATCAGACAAAATTTTACAATATGGATTTTATTGGCATACAATCTTTAGAGATGTTAATGCTTATATCAAAACTTGTGATTGATGTCAACGAGTAGGCAATATTTCTATGAGGAATGAGATGCCTCTCAATTATATGTTAGAAGTTGAGATATTTGATGTTCAGGGATTAGATATCATTGGACCATTTATACCATCTTTCAGAAATTTATATATACTGTTAGCAATAAGCTATGTATCCAAATGGATAGAGGTTGTTTCTTTACCTCAATATGATACTCAAAGTGTTGCAAAGTTTTTAAAAATAAATATATTTTGTAGATTTAGTATGGTGAGAGTGATCACAACTGACGGGGGAAACATTTCAGAAATGCAATAATGGAGAAATTATTAAAAAAATATCATATTAATCATAGAATCCCTACTTCTTATCATCCTCAGATAAGTGATTTGGCTGAAATATCCAATCATGAAATTAAAAGAATATTGGAAAAATCTATAAATCTAACCAAAATGGATTGGTAAGCTAAACTTTACTATGTTTTGTTGGCTTATAAGACTGCAAACAGAACTCCTATAGGAATGTCCCCATACAGGCTAGTATTTGGGAAAGCGTGTCACTTACCAGTTGAACTTGTGCATAAAGCATATTAGGTAATTAAGGAATTTGATTTCAATTTGAAAGATGTTGGTGAGAAGAGGTTATTGAAATTAAATGAGCATGAAGAGATAAGGAATGAATCTTATAAAAGACCTAAGATTTACAAAGAAAAGATGAAGAAGTGGCATTATCAAAAGATTCTGACTAAAAATTTTCAACCAGGGCAACAAATATTGCTTTATAATGCAAGGTTAAGATTATTTCCAGGCAAACTTAAGTCCAAGTGGATGAGGCCATTTGTTGTGATCAAAATTTATCCTTATAGAGCTGTGGATATCAAAGATCCTAAAACTGATAAAATATTCAAAGTAAATGGTGACATGCTAAAATCCTACTTTTTAGGTGACCAACTTAAATTAAATGACTTTTAAATTTTGGGTCAACCAAAATAAGCATTGGTTAGGTCAGGCTGATGACGTAAAACAAAGCGCTCTGTGGGAGGCACCTTATAGTTATATGTGTGTTTATTTTTATTGTTATGTTATTGTGTGTGAATTAGGAAATTCTGGTAGTAATTTGATTATATATTAAGTTAGTGATTATTTTAAGACCATAAATGATGTCTTAGACTGATGTCTTAGACATGTTAAAACGAATGTTTGGATGTTAAGTTGACCTGTGCTAAATTGAGCACTGGCACTTAAGCACTAAGATCCGGTGCTTAAGCACGATAGTTAAAATAAAACATGTGTGAATTTTGGTTACTAGAAGTTCTAACTACAAATTGGTTGGCTTGAACATGTAAGAGCAGTTCTAAAACATTCCTAGGAGTTTTAGGAAGGGTTTAGGAAGGGTTTAAAGCCTATAAAGGGTTTAAAGCCTATAAATAGAGGGGGTATGAGGAGAAATCTCACCACACATTCATTTTACCCTAAACTCTAAGTGAAAAAGAGAGGGTCTTGGAAAAATCTCATCTTGGGAGAGTGATTTGAAGAAGAAGGAGAAAGTAATGAGAAAAAACTTTATTAGTCAAAGTGTGTAAGAGATGCCTAACAGTTTTCTAGCTGTTAGTATTGAAGGAATAACAGAAACGATTACTAAAATTGGGGCTAATGTGGCATCAATTAAAGCAAATGTGATGGAAGTTAACGCACATCTAGATCATATGATATGTCAAATAAAGATGCAGTTTAGCCATATCAATTTTATAGAAGAATCAGATAAAGCTATGTATCTGAAGAACAAGTGGATTGAAGAAGATTCAACCAGAGTTATTAATCATCGTCCATTATTTTAGATATACATACCAAATGCTGAAGAAGAGACTGATGATAGGCCAGAATTTAATCCATCAACTAGAGAATGGAATTAAGCTCATGATTTAGTGCTTATGTTTAGTGTTGTGTGTTTAATGTTTGTTTGTCAATGTTAACTGTGTTTTAAAGTGTTTTATATGTTAAGTTTGTTTAGAGTCTGTGTTAGAAATTTTCTCATCCAAGACTGTTTGGATTGAGAATTTTTGTTTAAAAAAATGTTTGTAATCATTTGTGAATGAACATAAGTGTTTTGTTTGTAAAAAAATTTATGTTATTTAGTATTGAATCAAATTAGCTTAAATTGGTGAAGCTTGAGTTAGAAGAAAGTGAGAAGGAAGAGAAAAGTATATAAAATGTTTTTGAGACCATAGAGGGTTGGTCGACTTAGGCTAAAAATGCATTTCTCTTAAATGAAAAAAATCAAAATTTATGCAGTGGCACCTAAGTGTCAAATCCCACACTTAAGTTCTGACTAAATGATAGATGGGCACCTAAGAGCCAAACCATTCTCCCTTAAGCGTCGGTTCCCAAAAACCAGATTGCGAACGATTTTAAATGAATTTTTGGTCCAAAAATCGCCATTAAACCACTTCACTTTGCCTTCTTCATCAGTTTTTCACAATTTAGAGAGCTAGTTCTTTATCTTAAGTGAGGATTTCCTGGTGGATTCAAGCCAAATTTTTTAGATTTGATCTTCTTAAGGTAAGAGCTTCACTTCTATGCAAAATTTTTGTATTTTAAACATGTATTTTGAACACATTCATGAGCTACCCAAAAATCTATATTCATGGTGAAAATTTGGAAAAAAAAATTGATAGAAAATGTATAGATTTGTTAGTTTAAGCTTTTAAGAGTTGTGTTTTATGATTTGGAGTTGATTGTGGAATTTATTTTGAATTTTATACAAACTTTTAGAAAATGGCACCAAGAATGAAAAGAAGGAAAGGAAAAGCTCTGTTCAATTCAAGTAAATTTGTTAGTTTGAGAGCTTATGATAGGTACAGTGATGCTTTTCGTACAAGGAAACTGATTCCTGAGCTACGTTTCAAAAATCTGGGAGGAGTTGTTGAAGAGTTGATTGTTAGCCGTCGGTAGGAGAAATTATGTTATTATTCTGTTGTCACAGTGATCTTTGTAGTACGAGAGTTCTATGCAAATCTCTCAGAGGCTGATGAGGAAGGACTTATAGTATAGGGGAAGACAATACCATTTTCTTCTGAGGTAATTAATCAGTTTTACCATTTGCCTCCTAGTACTTTGTGTTTTTACGTAAACTATAGTCCTACTGAGGAGGAGCTAAATAATATTATATCATATTTAACTGATGGGAGAGGATTATGGAAAATTACAAATGAAAGAAGAGTAAATTTTTCTACTTCAAAGTTGGATTCCAATGTAAAGGCATGAAATTATTTTATCTTTGCTCATTTGCTACCTAGATATCATCTGAGTGAAGTGACCCAAGAGAGAGAAACCTTGAGCTACTGCATTCAGCAGTCCAAGCTGATAGATATTGGAGGATTGATTTATGGAGTTATTACCAGTTCTTCCATTGCTGCTACTACCGCAGGTTTCTGCTACTACGCTGCTACTACCGCAGGTTTGGGATTTGTATCCTTGATCTTTTCATTATGTGAGCAGGCTAGTGTTAGATATAATAGTTGGGAGGAGATCTTATAGCCACTGAAGCCCATTAATAGTGTGACTGTGAAGGCTAATTCACATCATTTTATTTGTTGTTGGAAGGGTGGATTCTTCAGTAGTTCTGCTGCCTCTACTTCACAAGCCTCTACTTCACATGCTTCTACATCACGGGGTTAAACTTCTGGATCCGCTGAGTCTCAGACTGAGTTATTACAAAAGATTTTAGATAAAGTCAATCAAACTGCGGATAAGGTATTGAATTTAGAGCATTTTTTTAGCATGTGGATGGGTATATGAGAAGAAGAATTGATTATGAGGAGGAATACAGCACATCTATGGAACATCTCAATAGAGGTAATCGAGATGTAGTATTTTCTTAGTACCCTAGATATCCACCATATGAGCCTACAACTACTTGGCGTAGTGATGATTGTTATGGGGAAGATGATGGTTAGTTGGATTTGTTGTTTTGTTTTCTGTTTTATGTTATTTTTTGTTTATGTATTGTAAATTGTGCAAGTATTTGTACTTATTATTTTCAGTTGAGACTTTGAAATGGTTAGTTTTAGTTGTTGTGTTTTATAGACATTTCTGTGATGTATTTGTACTTTTGTGTAGTTAGTATTTTTGTGTGGTAGTAATTATGTTAATTGTATGTTATGGTAGTAATTATGTTAATTGTGTTGTTTGGTGTATTTAGTTAGTGTTTGTTGAACTTAATTCAAAATCTTGAAAATATTTAAAATTTAACTAACTTTTTAATTTACTACCAATTTGAAAATGTTTGTTGAGCTGCATGTTAAAAATTTTTTTTCAATTTACTCCCAGTTATTTTTCCTTATGTTCCAATTGTGTTTGTTTTCCAGTTTGTTTATTTGCTTTTTAGTTATACTCCACTGCATAAAAGTCTAATGAATCTCTTTATATTAAGTAAAATTAAAAATTTGATCAATTTAATTTTCTACTCCTGTTTTTAATTTTTGTACTTGCTACTTGCTGTACTTGCATATTTAGGATATGAAAATTCCTGCAAGCATGTTATAGTTAGTTTTCATTCCTACTTTTATATATGCGAAATGTTTTATTTATGTTAAAAATATTAATTGGAGCTTAATTTTGAAGAGGTTTTTGAAACAACCCTTGATAAAAACATGGGAAATAGTCTATGGACACGAAAATTCCTTCAATTGGCTTTGAGAAGACAACTTTTAGAAGATTCATTGAATGAAGACACCTTTTTGAAGAGACACCAAGGCAACCCTTGGATTTTTATTAGAAAAGACTTAGATTTTCCAAAAGAGAAGGCAAGCAACCAACCACCAAAATTTACAACCGCCGCCACCGCCGTCGACCACCTTTACTTTATTTTATTTTATTTTGAGTGTTAGTTTGTATTGTGAGAGAAGCAAGAGAATTAAAAGGAACTTCATAACATTTGGTGAGGAGAATTTGAGATAAGTATTTATTTTTGTGACTACACTTGGTTTTTTATTCAGAATTTATGTTTGGTTTTACTTCAGATTTCTTGTTTGGGTGCATGATTTCTACTTCTAAACTCATGTGTGGTTGTGTTTTCTCCATGGATTCTAAGTAGGTTTTTTTATCTTTTTCCTTAAAATGATAATTGATTAGATGTTTAAAGGATGTTGTGTGAAGTATTAGACTTCAATGTTAGAAGAAGTTGTGATGATTCAAGACCTTGCACTTCATTTACTTCTTGATTTGGCCAATTAAGTTGTTAAAACATGTTGTGAGAAGATGTAAGATCCAAGATGGTATTGTTTCAGTTAATAAATGGTTGGATACACAATATTGATTTCATGAATGAGAATGTAGTTCATGGGCTTAAGTGCAAATAAATAGGAAAATATATTTTCAAGGGTGTAGAATTAGAGGAGTTTAGAGTGACAAGCTAAAGCCCCCAATTTGATTTATAGTTTTAGGTTTTGATACGAGATGTTAGCCCCCAGGTGAAGGGAGAAGATGAAACTCTAGAGTGAGAGCTAGTATCTTTTTTGCCTAGCCAGCCTTCAAGACTATTCAAACAATAGATTAACTAATGTTCTTTATAGAATCTCTAATAAGGGTAAAGAATATTATTGCTTCTATCTGACACAACACATTTAACATACATCCACAACTGAATTTCTATATTTATCACTGGTTCATGGTAAGGAAAAAGATATTTTATTTATATTGTCTTCATCTTGCAAATATTTAGTTAAGTTAGTTAGTTGCTTATTTTATTTTTATAAATCAATTCAAATTTTTATTCTTATTATAACATTTTTAGTTTGAGTAAGAATATATATTGCTAAGTATTTTGTTATCTAAAACTAATCCTTCTACGGAAAACTAATCCTATTCAGGACTTAATCAGAAAGTTCTATTTACTTGGATAATGATACGTATACATAACGATATGTATACATTTGTAGTATCCCATATTGAAATATTATAGATATAATTGCATACATTGCATTTTACATCTCTATATATATAAAGTTGGGATCAGCTCCCAAATCACATAAAAATTTTTCAAAAAACTTTTGCCTACAGCACAAGGAATAATAAAACTATCAAGATGTTTAAGTTTTTTATGAAGTCTTTTTTGAATTATAGCGCTACACTCTTAATTAAATGCAACTGTCTCTTTGTTTGTAAAGTTCATTATTCTATTAAGTAAATCCTTCATAAACTTTACATAGCTCGACATTTATTCCAAGGCTTCAACAAATGGAATATTTATGGTTAGTTTCTTAAATATTTCCAAAAATTTTAAGAATTGTTTATCCAATTTTAGTTGTCTCAATCTTTGAGGAAATGAATGTGGTGGTTTTTCTACAGTAAATTCATTGGTTTAATAGTATATTCTGAGTTATGATGAATATATTCCTCAGATTATTCAACCTTCTTTCTCAACTTCAATCTTATTTTAAACTTTTGTTTCCACTTCTTTTTTTATAGCTTTAATTTGCTCTTTATTCTGGTCTTTAGGATTAATCTCAACATTACTAGTAAGAGTTCCCTAAGGCCTACTGCTAAGTGCAGTAGCAATATGTTCCAATTGATTCTCAATGTTTCTAATTTTTGCTCTCTGATTTTGTAATTGATGACCCATTTGTAATATCAATTTTTCCATAGTTAATTGTTTCTCCCTGAATTGTGAATTGCTTGTTAAAATTGGGAGGATAATAAGGTTTATACTTAGTATTTCCTTGATTGTTAAAATTTCTCAGAGGGTTCACTTGATTGTTTCCACATTGTGGATTTATACCATTAGAGTTATTATTATTTCAACTTAAATTAGAGTGGTTTTTCCAACCAAGATTGTAATAATTAGAATAAGGATTATTAGGTCAATTATTTATTGCATTTAAAGTTTCATATGATGATTAAGAATCTATCATTTGTTCGAATGAATTTTCCTCAACCACTGGTGGTGTTTGAGATATGTTCATTCCAAATTGATCCAACTTCTTTGATATTGCAGCTATTTAAGAAACCAAAAAAGAAATTACGTTAGAGTCATGAACACTTGCTACTCTTTTTGGATTTACCCTTTCAGAGGCCTATTGGAAATTGTTAGTAGTCATATCTTCAATTAACAAATATGTTTCATCGAATGATTTTGAAATTAATAATACACCAGCAACAGTGTCAATAATAGATCTAAGAGATCCCAATGATCCATTATAAAATATTTGAATTATTAACCAATCTGGTAAAGCATTGTGTGGACACTTCCTAAGGAGATCTTTAAATTGTTCCCTAGCTTTATATATTGATTCCCCTTCAAACTAGCACGAAAATGTAATATCGTTTTTAAGCTTAGCAGTTTTTTATGGTGGGAAATATTTAGCCAAAAATTTCTCAGATAATTCTACTCAAGTTATGATTGATCCAGGTGCTAAAGAGTTTAACCACATCTTAGTTTTGTTCTTTAATGAAAAAGGAAAAGACTAAGTTCGATAACATCATTCGACACTCCATCATATTTAAATGTAACACACAAATCTAGAAAACTAGCAAGATGAAAATTTAGATCTTCAGATGGTGTTCCCATAAATTGATTATTTTGTAAAATTTGGATAATAACAGGTTAAGTTCAAATGAATTTGTATAGCCAACTGAGTTTCATCTACTATAGGGTTAGCATAGTCTCTTAATTGTCTATGTTGATGTTCATTTCCATACATTGGTCATTTTTAATTGTTTTCATTTTGTTAAGTTCTTTTGTTTTCAAATTTCTCTAATTTTTTGTTCTTATTCTGAATCATAAGCACTAATCCTTCAGATCCTAATCTTCGCATACACAAATACAAGTAATAATTATAAAAATAAGCAATCACACAAGAACATATATAAATTTTTGTTCTTTTTAAAATAAGATTTATAGTTCAAACAAAGTCTTTTAAGTAATTTACTGCAGCGTCACCAGCAATGGCGCCAAAACCTTGATGCGGGACTATTTTGTGTCATAAAATATTTTTCAACACCACAATACAAAAGACAGCTATACTAAAAAATTTGCATATTAATCACAATAAAAATCACTTCAGTATAATAAGTTTTCTCTTTTGAAATATTTAAAGCTGTCACTCCTAGTGAATGAAGTTGTACTTTTAATTTCAAATCGACACTAGGTTGCAAACGCATGTATACGTATCGCTCAGGTTCTAATGAGTCCTAAATATCGATCCAACGGGGAGGTGAAAATTTGTTAGAAAAGGCCAAGCAAAAGCACAATATTTAAATTATAGAAAACTTTTGTAAGAAAAGATGACTAAATTTGTTTAATGTAACTGAAGAAACTACACTTACTACACCAATATCTAAACTTCAAAGCTAAATTTACTAAAAACTAAACTAGATTTTGCGGTGAAGAGTTCAAAATTAAGAAAGCATTATTCCCCTTTATAACGAGATTATAGTAAGTGAATTATCAAATTGAAGAAAATTGTATTGTGTCAAATAGGAGTAATTATATTATTTATTCTTTTTACAAGCGACAAAGAACATTGGCTAATCTAGTGTTTAGTCTTAAAATCCGCGGTTAAGCTGGGAAGATACTGGCTCTCACTCCAGAGTTCCACGTTGCCCTCGCCTGAGGGCTAACATCTCGCTTTAGTTTCCAAACATCTGTACTAAATTGGGGATTTTAGTCTATCACTGTAAAATCTCTACTTCTATGCCCATCAAAGAATATTTTCTCATTTATTTGCACTCAACCCCATGGACAGAATATTTTCTCATTTATTTGCACTCAACCCATGGACTATATTCTTACACATGAAATCGAATGTGATTCTTATATTATTGTAGAAAGCATAGCCCTCTTGGATCGTATGTTTCACAACAAATTTTAACATTTTAATTGGCTTGATCGAAAAGTAAATGAAGTTCAAAGTTTGAATCATTACAATTATGAAATTAAATTATTGTACAACAATCTTGAATTTTCACATGACCAATTCCCTTTGTAGGAAGAATGACAAAGAAATATACTCAAAATTCATGAGGAAGATACAATAAAATATAGATTTTATATATAAAAACAAGTTTATAAAATAATAAAGAAAAGTAAAACAACTTAAATCAATCTCTTTCCCAAGAAAATCTCTTGAACTTTCTTTGAATCTCTTTCTCTCTTTACAATAACAATCAAATCACTCTTAGAAATGTAAGGAAGAAGAAATCTCTCACATTCCCTCTCTTCTATTAACTCTTAGAGACCCTTACCACACTATGCCTCACTTTGATACTCATACCCCCCTCACTCACACCACTTTTTCTGACATAAAAACACTTTTATGATGTAGGAATGAATTTCCCAAGAGTCTCCATATGCACTTCTTCAAAATCCATCCAAATTCAATGCATTTGTGAACTCAATGCATTTGTGAAAATAGCCATCTTTGACATTTATGCCATCTTCTTTGTATTATGGGCATCTTTGACATTTATGCCATCTTCTTTGTATTATGGCGCCGAGGCGCCACTTCAACTTGTTGGCGCCGAGGCGCCAGTTCAACTTGTTGAAAACGCCGTCTTTTGACTTCAAATTTCGTTCTTTTTGCATCCTTTAAGCTCTAAATGCCTAGACTTGGTATACATGCAATAAAATATGAAAATATCTTTCTTTAAAGTGCAATATCACCAATTATAAGCCTTAAAATTGAATATTTTTTTTGGTGTATCATGATGCCAATTAGAAAATTTGTATCTCTACCCAACCCTCAAGCTTGACGATGAAGTTGTAATTGAAGGTGAAGAGGGTGTTATGACATATGCTATTATGCTTGATCATAAAAAGATACAACAACATACATTAATGTGGATACAAAATAAAAAATGGAGGCTCTCAAATTAATGGAAGATTGTGAGAAATAAGAAAGAGAAAGAAACTCAAAACAACACGTCTCACCCTTCTTTTTTCCTACTTTTTCTTGCATTTTATTGAATTCTTGCAAGAGCTAAAAAAGAATAATCAATATGTTATTCTAAGATAATAGATTGTTAAGAAACTAATAATTTTAATTACCTTCAAGCGATAAATAAAGATACATGAGATTAATCTTTATTTTTAATTGATTCAATGTATGTTTTCTTGTGAAATCTCTGAGGAGTCAGTATACAATCGAAGAATAACCATAGCCGATACAAAATAAAAAAAAAAAGAAATTTTGAATCACATAAATACAAATTTCATTTTTCCTTAATAAAAAATTGAATCACATAAATACAAATTTCATTTTTCCTTAATGAACTGAGTCGAACAACATTTACACTTACACAAATTAGTCTTCACAATTGCACCCCTACCTATTAGTCTTCACACTTATACTTATTGTTCTAATAAAAAAATTTGAAAACAAAGAAAAGCAAGTAATCACTTTAGAAAATGCAAGCATTCACCTTCTATGCAGTAATTCAGCATACTTCCAAAATTACATTAAAGTTAGAAATTGCTGAAAATGGCGCTATGTGCTAAAAGTGCTCAATGGGTTCTAGAAGCATTGATAAGAATAGAATTTTAATACTTCCTTTTCCTTAGAAATTCTTGAAATTCAAGCTGATTGTGACAAAAATGTGTTTAAAAGCATTTCTAGAAGCATAGGTAAGCATAACACTTTTAGTTCCTTTCTTAAGTTACCAATTACTCTCAAAATCCAACCTTCTTATTATGTCAGCCTCTAATAAGCTAATTGATATAGGAATCAATTTTCTATATTGTTATGTTATGTTCCAAACCTCCATTCAAATATTTTATTGATAAACTATTTGATAATATCTCTGTCAATAAAAGAGAAACTTTTTTTTTATGCGCTAATAGATAAAAAATTTGTATAACTATAAACTTTGTTCTGCAAAAAATAAACTGGGCAACATGATCTAAAGCAGCAATCTAAGAACTTATGAAGTAAAAATGTTAGGTGTAAATGTGATGAAACATAGTTTATTGATTCACATGTAGCTCTCTACTCACAATCTCATGATCTATAATGCCCATAATTTTTTTGATTAATGTTGAAATTCTTGAATGTTGTTTATTTCAAGTAAATCATAGAATAAGACAACATAATGATGATGCATATGATGATTAATAGTGCTCATCCAAAAAAAGAAAGGGCTCCCTTGCTACATACGCTGTCTGATCTCCACCGTCTATCAATTTTTTTTTTATTTAAAAAAAAAATTGGGGCCCACCGAATACAGCTTTGCTCTGATGGACGGTAGAGATCAGACAGCGTATGTATTTTTACATATCTTGTCCATATCAAGTAGGTGTGTGAAGTCATTCAATGGAGCACCACAATTAATATCATACTGAAAATTCTATCTAAATCTAATACAATAATGCATTGTATAATCATCTAAATTATCTAATATAATTGTGTAATTAAAATGAGGAACAACAATATTGATTGGAAAAAAGATGAGCCCAATAAATAATATATCTAATAAAAAGTTAAATTTTAGTGCTCATCTTAATTGGATGATTTAATAAATAAAAACTCAAAATGCTAAATATCCAATAAACTTTATGATGGTTAAATTTCTTTTTTTTTAATAAAGATGAACCCAATAAATAATATATCTAGTATGAAATAGCTATCTCAAACTTCAAAAATACACACTCAACACTATAGCGATCCAATTTTTTTTCTTAACACCATTTTTGAAAAATTTTATGGGAGGATAATAATCCAAAAATTTCGTTCGCAGTGCTTGGGCGGCCTTATTTGGTCAACTTGTATGCCACCTAAGCATAAATTTCGGACAGATAGGATTGACATGGGTCCCACAAACATCAATAATTAAAAAAATAAATAAAAATAAATAATAAATTAAAAAAGCTGGTATTTTAAGATTTCCTTCTTCCCCACCTCACCATATGCTTCTCCAAATGCCAAACGTACCACCTCTGTAAAGCCCCCAACTCCACCTGCCTTTCTCCCAAAATATGACTTGTCTTCTCCCTCTCCTCCCCTTCATCCTCCTCCTGTCGACCGCCGCCGCCGCCGCCGACGCGTCCCTCGCTCCGTCTGCGGCAGAACGAATACCCCAGACCCCGAGGGCTTTGATGTTCACTTCGTCGATGCCATGGAGAAAGTCTTCCAAAACATAACCATATCCGGTTTCGCTACCTCCGTGTCTGGCAACGGCTCCAATCTCACCGTCTATGGTCTTGGCCAGTGCTTCTCATACCTCCCTCACCTCAGCTGCCAGCTCTGCTACGCCCAAAGCAGAGTCAAGCTTCCCCACTGCCTTCCCGCCGTCACCGGCCGCATCTACCTCGACGGTTGCTTCCTTGAATACGCCAACCGCAACGTCTCCCTCGATTCCGTTGATTCCTCCGATACCTTCGATTGCGGGAACGCAACTTTCCCCAAAGGATCCTCTCCGATGACCTCAACCTCTCAGTTGGTCCGAAATCTGACGGAGGCGGCTTATCAGAAGAAGAACTATTACGAGGTTGGGAGCGTCGCGGTCTCCTCGGAGCTGACGGTGTACGCTATGGCACAGTGTTGGCTGTCGCTGAATTCAAGTGGATGTAAGGCTTGTCTGGAGAAAGGGAGGGATAATCTGGTCGGCCGTTGTTTGCCTGCCTCCTCTTCGGATGCGAAGGCGATGAATGCAGGATGCTTCATGAGGTATTCGACCTCTCCTTTTTATTTGACGGTGGATGGGAGCGGCAGCGGAAGCTCTTCTCACGGTGATTTGATTCTAGTGCAATCATGTCTGCTTTGCTTCTTTAGCTTGTATTTTTGTAATTAACGGATCTGTTTCTATTCTGCTGCAGTTTGGATTTGGTTGATTGTAGCTCTAACTATTGCGGTTGTTGTCTTGGCTATGATTGGGGCTGCTGTTTTCTGGAGATGGAAGAGATCTTCTAATGTTGAAGATGGTAATGAGTGTTTGAACAGAAACAAACAAAACCCTAATGTTTCCACCTTTTTTTTTATTATTTTTGGGATAATGGGCTGTGGAAAGTTTTTTTATTGGATGTAATGAATGGATTCTTGTGCAGATGGTGCCAGCGAGGCCATCAGGGCCATCTCAAAATCTCAACTAAGTTTCAGATATGAGGATTTGTGTCGGGCAACAGACAATTTCAGTCAGAATAACAAGCTTGGGCAAGGGGGTTATGGCTCGGTTTATAAGGTAAATTTTCACTTTTAATTCTGGGGCTGTTTTTTGTATCTAAATCATATGAACTCAAATTACAGATTAGGTGGTTATGTAGGATTCAATCAATGGAAGTATTGTTCAAGATTGTTATATGCACTTGCAGGGGACTCTGCCGGATGGGAGAGAAGTTGCTGTTAAGAGACTTTTCTTCAATACTCGGCAATGGGTTGATCAGTTCTTCAATGAAGTCACACTAATCAACCAAGTACAGCACAAAAACCTTGTAAAGCTTCTTGGTTGCAGCATCGAAGGACCTGAAAGTCTTCTTGTGTACGAATACCTCTGCAACACCAGCCTTGATCACTTCTTATTTGGTAAGAATCAAACTCAGTAAGTGCTGATTTCTGAAACACCAGTAGGAAACCTAACTGTGCTTTTTTACCTGGTTATTACCTGCAGATCCATCAAAGAAGCATGTTTTGGATTGGGAAAGACGACTAGATATCATCCTTGGCACTGCAGAAGGGCTGGCTTATCTCCATACTGCTTCGGTTGTAAGAATCATTCATAGGGATATAAAAGCCAGCAACATACTGTTGGATAACAGGTTCAGGGCCAAAATTTCTGATTTTGGCTTAGCACGTTATTTTGCAGAGGATCAGAGCCATCTCAGCACTGGTCTAGCAGGAACTTTGTAAGCTTAGAGAAACCCAAATTTCCTTCAATTCTCCTATTTTTCTGTTTCCTTTCTCCTGAAACTTGCTTTTGCAATGCTTCCAGTGGCTACATGGCACCTGAATACATAGTTCATGGCCAGCTAACTGAGAAGGCGGACATCTATAGCTATGGAATCGTTGTTCTTGAACTTGTTACTGGCCGAAAGAACCAGAACTCAATAACAACATCAACAGAAGGTCATTCACTCATGCAGCTGGTAAGATTCATGCTCAACTCTATTATAACTGCACCGACGAATTTGGAGGGGGGCGGATGGGGTACGTGCCCCATCCAATTTTTTGCGAAACCTACTGCCTCCTGTGTTTCCCCTCTGCACTTTCATTTCCTGCCCGCATTTATATTTGGTGAAAGTCATTTAAAAGCCCTCAAAAAATATAACAAATATAAGAATAGTTTCAGTTAGCTAGCACCTCTAGTGTTGGAATTCAAAATTTTTTGGGGCATTAACTCATACCAGCAAATTCTCATATGTATATATAACACCTAACTATACCTTTTACATTTATACCACCCAAATCTCTTAAATTTCATAAAAAGTACCACCATTTTTAACTTTTTATGCATTGGTAAGATTACATGTATGTAAAAGTTGATATTTTTGTGCTAGCTATATAAATTCATGGGAATCGAGTGGTCTGTATATAAACCTTCTTTGTTTGAGAACTTTTTGAGCTCCTCCATATCACTATTACACATGGCCATAATTTTGCATTGATGTACACATATTGGTCAAATTATTCTTACAACTACTGAAATTAATATATTCATAAAATATTTTCAAGTATATCACCAAATATCAAAAAAAAAAAATTCTGAGTTACTTGAACACACCAAAAATGGGGAACATAAATTTAATTTGCTAAATGTTATTTAAAAAAAAAGAAAAATTTTACATACCATACATTTTTTATGTATTTACATATCTAACACTTTGAAGTTTGATATTTACATTTATAATAAACTTATATATGAAAATTTTTATTTCACTTTACAAAATTTAGTGATAGTGTTTTTGATGTTATGTTTAAGATTAGAGTGGTATGCATGAAAATATGAAAGTTTAGATTTTGGATATGTAAAATATAAGAGTTGGGTGATATGTATGTGAATGCATAATAAAAAAAGGAAGACCCTGGCCTTTTGGAGAAACACTGAATGTTAATCTCAATGAGGAGTTCATTATCCCAAAATGATTAAATGAAATAAATCCAACATATATATATATATATTATATATATATATATATATATATATATATATATATATTTGAAGATAAACTGATGGTGCTATAATTGCAAATCGTACTCGTTTAAATGCTTCAATTAAATTTCTCAATGCTGGTTCCAAGCATGGATGGAAATGGCTGAGATAATTTTTGATAAGTTGTTCTGTGCCCCCTCGCATTGAATAATTTCATGATCTGGCACTGTAGACCAGCGTATAATATGGTAAGTTGTGTGGATTAACAAAGCCTTCCTCTGCTTGGTAACAGATATGGCAGCATTACAACTCTGATACATTGATAAAATTGTTGGATCCTGATCTTCAAGGAAAGTGCACAGAGGACGAAGCCCTCAATCTATTTCATGTCGGGCTTCTCTGTGTCCAGGCATCTCCGGCATTGCGGCCGCCAATGTGGAAGGTGGTCGAGATGCTAACAAGCAGATCGAAGGAACTTCCGGTACCCAGCCAACCTCCATTCATCAACATTAAAGGGACAGATAGTAGAAGCAGAAGCGAAAGCTCGGAGACTTCTTACCTGCTTTCCTCCTCAGCCAAGTCCCTCGATTCTGGACAGACATCAGTGAATCAGGTATCCGTTAGTATTTTTCAGGGTAGGTGATAAAATTTTGCTCATATTTTCCTTTGCATCTTGGTTGAGGATTTTTTTTTATTTTTGAGCTTGTTTCTTTTTTTCATTGCCAAGGTATAGATGTAAATGCTTTAAATTTTCTTTGGATAGACTAAAAAAAGGAATTTTAAGAAACATGTATAGATAATAGATGTTTGAATTATATATGGAATCTATGTAAGATTTTGGAAAGTTTAGTAACATATTGCAGATGTTTGCATTAGATATGATATCAATTATATTGTTGAAATGATGTGCACAGTTTTTATTCTGTGAAACTATTTAGCAAATCCTTCTGTTAATCAAAGGCCACTTCAGAATTCATGGAATCGTAGGAAGTGCGAAGGAATCCACCGTCCGAAAGGACAAATATTTACATATAGAGTACTGCGTGTGTATAGAGGTTATTCGGGAGTAAACGTTGGTCTTATTTGGGTTAAACCCCCATTAACCTGACAAAACTTCTGAATAACAATAAAAAATTTGAGCGCAGAACCGTGGAATATATTGATAGGTTATTGGGGGTTACTGAGAGGTTATTGGAGTTAATACTCCAAATAACCCCCAATGACTGAGTTATTGGAAGATTATTTGGGAGAGAATGCACGTAGAACTACGTCATCTGAAAGAGTGCTACTTCCTTATGTAAATATGATTATAAAATTGTTGGGAAAATAAATTTTTCATTATAAAACTTCTATTGGTTACAACAGCTCCTACATTGTAGCAGATTTTGTTCAAAATAGTTTCCTGTCCCAGAAAATCTTTAAAAGCAACACTAAAGAAATGGTCAAATCGAATAGTATTGACACTCTGTACTACAAAATGATAAAAAAGCTGCAGCAAACAGACTCTTTAGTTCAAACATAATTATGTAATGGCGAAATGAAAGATCTTGATGTCCAAATAAATGATTGTATCTAGAAGCTTTAGCTGCCCAGCTCTGCCTTGAATGTGGGTCTGCAGCATATGATAATGATGAGAAATGAGGGACTAAAAATAGATCTATTATTGATGAGTAGAGGACTAACTCAAAGATTACGGGATTATTAGTTTATAATTTTTTATCCATTATTTAAACCAGGGAATTATTTAATGCCACTTTCATTGAATCAGTCAGCACCCCAGAAACCTGGATGTCTACTATTTCGGCCGATATTATACAACTAATATTTATTATATGGAATTAAATAGGAAGAATAAATGATCAAATGAAATTCTGATGTAATAATTTTAATATTTTAGTTTATTCTAAAAATGAAATTTAGCTTGGGAGAATATAATTTCAGAAGATCAAGTTATGTTTACATGGGTTATGTTTTTAGTGTTTTAATAAATAAAACTTATTATTAAGACTATTCTACGGGTTTGCTGTGGATTTTTTTTTTTTT